AATTCCTTACTAAAAATATCATGCCACTGTTGTCTACCTCCCACCTTCCCTACCTCCGATACCTTACCTACTCTGCTACCCCCTCCCAAGCTCTCACCCCTCCATACACACCCCATCCTCTAAATCTCTCCTAGGCTACTATGGTCGCCCCTACTCCACTGGTAATTGGTCCAGTTGATGTAGAAGGCCTACCTAAAAATGTAGCCCATCTTACCCTCCGATGAGCCGTTTGGTGCAAACGGCGAAAAGCGCTTCAGGGATGCGCCACCCTCCTTCATCGATTTGGAGATTGGTCCTATCGAAGAAGGTTCTCTTTCTGCTCTCTCCTTCTCTTTCTCCCTTATCTCTCCCCATGTATGATGAATAGTGTATGGCATGGTGTAGTCAAAAATCTGCGATCTATGGCAATAGGTGTACGATGGTGACCCAGTCGACAATCTAGTACGATGCTTTACTAGTTCAAATTGTGTAAAATGTTGTTCTTTACTGTTCCTGTCCCAGCCAGGTTGTTCAATTGCTTCGCAATTTGCTTCAAACCACACACCGACTTTTTAGCCCTGATACAATGGTGTGGGTAGACTCCCCATGACAGTATGCATGAATCGGCTATACACTCGATACAACTAGTTTTGGTCTACTTGCTGGTCGTGGTAAAACCTTTGATACACAGTCGAAATAGCTAATGCACAACGAACTACAATACCCACCAATAAGTCCCCCCGCAGTCACCTTCTTTACTCTTGTTTACGCCCCACCCCCACCCCGCCCTCCACCTATCTTATACCACCGGAGCTACGCATATAGTACTTTCTTACCCACACAAATATACCCCTGCGTAACTCACACATAGTATATACATAAACAAACTTATATACAATCCCATAATCTTTGTTAACTATCAACCACTATTCGTCCAGTGCAGCCTTATGCCACCCTATGACGACACTATTTCAATCGCGCGCATACGAATTCTCCATGCACGAAAAGTAGAAAGATAAGAAGTAACATACCAAAGATATGTGCTTCTTTTCCCCACCTACGTACCCAAGATAAACCTGCCCTTGGTCGTCGTATAAAGTAGTAAAATAATTCGCACCAAGTAGCTAGCAAGATCCTGGACCCAAAACTAAGATCCACAGAAAGACTTACTATTGTAGGACCCACTTGTATGTACGAAGAAGCCGTAGTATACACCTAATTAATGGATTATAAGCTTCGCCCTACCAGGGAGAATAGTGTAGGCCGTCATCCACTCACGTCCCTCACACACACATAACCCACAACCACGACTACCCCTCTCGATAAACAAATATATATATATATATATTTATTATTATTATTTTTTTTAAAAAAATCTTATCAATTGCGCGCACAACATTCGACATACTGAGATAAAACCATTAAAGAAACGCGATTCATGGATTCCCCATGGTTGAATTGCGAGATCATACACACGTATGCGCAATTTTTCGAAAAATATGGCACTACCAGAATAGAGACTCGATGCACAGACTCCCATAGTTGGCCGCGTGTTCATACCCCCACGCGCATAATTTTCCTAATAATATGGCACTACCATCTCACAAGACAACAAGTGATAAGTACTAAACAAAATGAGTAGTACGAACGGTATTCACGAGAGATACACAATCAGTTTTCATATGATGAACACACCAAGAAGTACACATAAACTCGAAACAAGTGATTATTTTACTCATGTAACAATGAATTGACCACAATAGTTTTCATGACACAACACAGTTGGAGGCATCGGTTAGCTTCATATGGATAACACCAAATAGAAGAAAGATTGTTCACATGATACGCGCGAACGTTCACCGAGATCAAATACGATGAGGATTACACATACGTTCAAACGAAAGCAAATACCAACTCACATAACAACGGCGTAACCACACTAGTATCCAGAACACAACACAGGCGGACGCGCCAGCCAAGGTACATACCTACAAATTACACCCAGATCCAAAAAATTAAAAAATAGCAATGAAAGATAAAATCACCAGATATTGTCGTGCTCAGATCACTGTTCACTCATTCTTGTTCACATACAAGATTTATACGCAAGATCCCAAAACGTAAGTCCAAATGGTACACACCCCTACTCATAGAAGGTCGAATAGGAAATCTATAGTAGCCGTAATCCCAACACACAACTATGTAGTGATTAGGATCGCAGAAGCAGGTATGACCTTGCCTGTACAAACTTAAACGGTATTACTACATAAAGGCTCTCCGTGGTAGCAAAATATTGCCACCAATAGCCGACTCGTAGATCACTCACAAAAAATCCGCACCACCTCACGCGCATCAACACAATCCCCCAATGAAGCAGCCATGCTTGCCACCTAAGCCACAACTACGAAGGAAGCAAGATGGCGAGATCATACATGACTCTGCGGAACCACTTCAAATGCACCACACAGAACATCCCTCTGATGGCATAACCGGCCATGAAACCATGATGTCACCTCGTTCCCAATTCCACCACCACTAACCACCTAAGAATACTCAGAGCTGTCTGCAGAACGACACACACGTTAGCACGATCCTCCATTGGTACATTCATTGCCACCGCCCACGCAGTATCAAGATAGCAAAAGCAGACGTGTGACCTTGAAGCAGCACTGCAAATCCTATATGCAACGGAACAGCCCAATCAAGACATATCTTGCCCATCGCCCTACTCCAAGTAAGCAGGTTTTACACACACCACACATTACAATTGTAGTATACCACGCATATAAGCACGACCCTCCAAGGGCGCATCCAAATTCGCCTCCCACTCCACAATAGACGATAGATAATCGTCATGCTCCCGAAGTAGTGTTGTAGTCACCAGACGCACCATAGACTCGACGATATCCTCATCGGCACCAACATGAATGTTTGGAACATCGGCACCCACCTTCGTCACGTACACAATAACCTCGCGTAAATACTCCCATTATAACCCAAACCAACTACCAAACGCAACACCAACTCCCCCCTGGCATCAAGCTCATAGTCACGAATCTCGTGCCTATCTACCGCACTCGTAAACGCGATCTCACGACCCAAGCGATAATCCCGAAGGTCACACATCTCGAAGGCCATGACGACGCGGCCTGCGATATGCCCCCGCGCAACAAAGGAAACTAACATGGCGGACAGAACTCTCAACTTGAATTAGCACGGAAGCAATTACGTGTGGCCTTGACACCGATTGCGCAATAAAGGTGATAACAACAACCATGAACTAGTGCGCCGGTATAGAACTCCGCTACATGGACAAAGAGAGGCTTAGCATGCTTAAATAGTAAAAATTAAATATTATAAAGAGAACATAATAATTCTTGATTTTTCATCTCCCCACTAAGAAAGAGACAAGTCGACTAACCCCCAAAAAAAACACGGATGACAGGCGACAACCAGTAGTCGGACCGACTCTCGCACACCTGGTGCTTAAGACACACGAAGAAACACGACCCCTAAAAAAAAACAGTGGCCCAGAACACTTATTGAATCTACTACAGTCTAAACTAAACTAAAGAATATGATACCCCTACAAACCCCAGAAACGACTAAATACACCATACTCCACCACATATATGTAAAACAACAATAAAAACCACAATAAGAAACGAAAAAAGACCCAGGTACGCACAACCCCATATAAGAGGGCACAATCAGACGGAAACAGAAAAATTAATTGATTTCCTTAAAAAAAAAAAAAAAAAACAGAAAATCTAACACAATACCATGAAATATAATAAATTGCGGTAAAATCTTCTTTTTTTCCGCTCCCCCGGTTGCAAAAAACCTCTGTTAATCCCTACCTACCCATGACTACATCCCCAGCTACAAAAAACAGGCAAAATTAATTTTGATTCCCCTTGATTCTTGTAGGGCGTTATTGAGAGATATGAAGACAACAGACGGAACCTATGGCCCCACATAATGGTGAGTCCCCGCAAAGACCCTCCCCACTAAATACATGACAACGCACCTAGCTGCTTACCAACACATAACAGCGCCAACCATAACTAACTATCCAACCGCGCCTATGTTGACATGTGCAGGACCAGGAGATCATCAACCGCGGATGGCATGCGGACCTGGCACCTATGGTAGCTCCATTCGCGAGCTTGCAACCACCAATCGTCCACTCTCAGCTGATTATGATGACGTTCCCACAAGACATCCTCAACAGATTCCACACAGCTACACAACCAACCAGCCTGATTGAGACACTCACCTTTAGTGACTGGGCGGTTATCAGTGCTAAGTACGAAACTGAGTCAGAAAAGATGCACAAACTCATTGAAGCTTATGCGCTCAATGTGGCAGTCATCCTTAGCAAGAATCTACTACACAATAGGGAGCTTAACAGAGTCATAGCCAAAGGAGAGAAGATGATGTTAGATAAGTTTGGGTACTGCTCGGATCACCTGAATGACGTTGGAGATATCGATATCTCAACCGAGGTGAATGTTAGAAGACAGGCACGTAGACAACGGATTGGACTGACACAGGCTGAGATAGACTATCTCGAGAAACAACACGAACGAAGACTCAACTCTGTGACTGCCAACGCCTCCACCACGATAGATCGCACATGGAAAGTGCACAAGTTTGCACAAGATAGCCACTTTCTACCGATTGCTTCTGACACCTTGGTAGAAAAGAACAGCAAACATGTCGCACACAAGGTATAGCAACTAGACTCCTTCAACTACACCGCACCCATTTCGATTGAGGGATACAAGGCACTTGCCAACCTGTCTGACGCTGATGTTGAGGCATGCAAACAGGTCGCACACAACTTCTCATTACATTACCCAACCAACAGACCACCCTTTGACGGAGACTTCCCCATACTGGCCATTCTAAACAGAACCAAGTGTGTTGTCTCCAAGCCTATCCTTGTACAGAAAGGCTTCGCTAGAGTCCCACAGACAATAGAAGAAGTGAAGAAGATGTGGAACATCGGCCCCATATCTCAAGTGCACATGTGAGAAGAACTGTGGCAAGACCATTACTTGGTTTGACCACATGATATCGAACTACATCGCCAACTTGGACTTCTTCAACCCTGTGGCGCCAACAGATGTGACACGCATGTTTGATTTCCAACAGAAGCTGGAGACAGAATGGAAGGGACCCGGCTTCGCACAAGTCACCTTCCTGCACATGAGGCAGATCATGAGAGACCTCCTCGACAGACTCATCGACGACAATATGACCACCGTCGAAGGGCTTACTGACCATCCAGCGCTGAAGAATGTTCCATTCGCTAGCAGATTCGCGGGCATCATGATCCCCGATGCCCCGGTCAAGACACCGACTGCGGCTGGAGGCAGCAGAAGAAGTGCCTTAGCGGCAGAGCCATACATAGCACACAGGAGCAGAACAAGACAGACACTGCTACCATTCATGCCGGTCTCAAGCAACAGCGCCTCGACCACACCTGCCATAAGCACTGCACAACGCACAGCCACGAGAACCCCTCCGACAGCCACGACACCAGCCCTGCACAACCCACAGCACAGCCACACGGCAGCCCCACAACATGCACCAGCTACACAGGCTACGACCCCACTCCCCAGGGCTACTATGACCCACACACCTGCACCATCTCCCCACACGCAAAACCACCCCATACAGCATCTACCGCTTCACAACCATAACACAACATCAAACCCCCGACCTAACCACAACACACTGCAACACTGCAACCCAAACACGCGCCCACAGAAAAAAGCAAGAAAGAACAACGGGCCATGCAGACCTAACCACAATGCAGCACGACATGGCAACACAAGGCAGCGCAGGAACAGAAACCATGCAAACACCAACCAGCACTTGCAGGCCCAACAATTCATCAGCAGTGTCCTTGCACCCACACACAACACCCCCATGTCAGCACCGCTCCTCCAGCCACCAAACCAATTGCCTGCCACACGACCCCCCGCAGCGCTCTCCTCCCAGCATGCATCCCTACAGATTGGTTCGACAATCCAACTTGCTGGCAGTCTCAACTCGTTACCCATACGCAGCCAGATCAGCGGGCGACAAGCACAGGCAGTGGTTACACAACCGCCACAGGTCCAAATCATCCATGTCCCAGATCAAGACATTGAAGACGGTGCCAAGTGACAGACTGCCATCAATGTCGGATCACCCTCTCCGGATACACCTGCAAGAGCGGTCAGCACCTTCGGCTACATCTTCGAGAATTTCGATAGTGAAGAATCCCTCGCTGGATCAGGGACTGAAGCTTACAGCGAAGTCAACACTGGCAACGACGATGGTTCCTCGCACCTCAAAGCCATCAGAAGGTATCTGCGCAACGACTACGATAGCGATAGACTAGCGCTCTCTAATCTGTAGACTGGGGGATATTATTGTTGATTAGCAATAGTATTTAGCAAACCCTAGTGCTCGATCAGCTGCCCTACATAGTATTCCGATTGCAGCACCTCTGTTTTTTTGTTACAAAGGATCTCATATGAGAAACTCAGGTGCTCAGACGACAACCCACTTAGACAGCATGACCACTGCACATCGTTCTTTGATGGGTACCATGTTGATTGCTGGAGCCACAATACTCGTGAGACAAGCCAAATACAAGCACCTGCAGTGTTGCTGAGACTCAAATATTTTTTATTTGTTCCCATTATTTATGTTAAAGACTACCGCATTGATACAAAACACCGTTGCCCCCCTTGCACCCCCCTCTTACTGCTCCATCCCCTCTGCTGACTCCCACCCAAAACCCAAATAAAATCTTGCCAACTACCTTGCAGTCGTGGTCCCTGTATAAGAATGGTTTTTCTAAAAAAAATCCCCAACTACCTACTAACCTTGCTATTGTTAGCAGACCACTACCTTAAAAAACAAATAATTAGAGCAACACATAAACCCTAAACCCTAGACTAGATAATACTGTTTGAGTCCAATTCGAACCTGCAACTGTTACAACCAAAAGTTCTTCTTAAAAAAAACATACTTACGAATACCGTAAATGTTTGTCTTACCTGAACAGGTCAACAACCTACATGTCATGGAAGATGGACGAAGAGGCTGGAGAAAGGTTGCGGAACCCCGCAGGAAGATCGTTCACCTACACTAAAGAAACAGACTCATGGAAAAAATAAAAATCAGAAACCTATTCACAAATATACTCCATAAGCACAACCCACTCGCAACAGAAAGACTACAGAGCATAACCTTCGGATGGACTTACGACAACAACCTTGCCAAACAACTGTACAAACCCACAGTTGTTTTCAAGAAATTCGATCTCACCCAATGGTATGAACAACAGGACCAAACCTGCCTCTGCCAACACCACTGATACGAACAAATATGCGGAGATGACGAACTCCAACCACACGTCATCACCCTAGACACAAACATAATACGGAACCCATAATTAAGGAATCAGACTGAAAAAGGACCCAACCACATCGCACTCAAACCTTACAAGCAAAATGACATCAGGAGAGAATGCAAAATGACCCTACAAAAAACCGTAGAACTAATCAATCAAGAGATCACAATCATATCAGATGAACAACTTATGACAGCACAAAAACAACTTACACAAATCATAAATAAAAATTGTGCAAGTTTCCACAGACCAATCAATTTTGATCTCGAAGAACCAAGCACTACAAATGAAATTGATATTCTAACATAACACTTCTACATATCCGGCGCCGACAAGGCACCTAATACCCCTACATTCACCTGCATTAACCTCATTAGGTACCTCGCCCTACGCAGACTCTCAGGAACAAAGTTTACATTGTGTGAATGCACAATAAGTGAATAAACTAGAACAATCCGCTGCCAGATCGAAACAAACTTTCCCTACGCACCTATCAAAAATACAAAATTACCCTTCCTTATGGCAACATTTAAAAAACATAAAAACGACTTTAGATGGTTGACCAACGCGGCAAACGTAATCTTCTCCCCGCTTGCAGATATCTGTGCTGCCACACTAAAGAAGATGGCACTGATGGTCAAAACTCACAGTGGTATGCTCACACAAACAACATAACAGGAATTCGGAGTCAGAGTCCCGTTCTGGTGGATAGTCGACTCAGTATCAGACTATATATACAACCTACCCATACACATCCACAATCTGTACTCTGCGAATATCACAAAATACTATGAGTCGATCCCAACCGATGATTCAAAAGATGGCCTACCTGCGGTTGTCAACTTCTTCATTGAGCTTGCGTTTAAAGTGGCAAGGAAAACATATGGAAGGAACACCGGCATCGCTTGCTATATCAAAGACAACGGGTCGGAAATTGAAATTGACGCAACTTGGACATCACTCAGACAAAACACTACAACGATACTAAGCGCAACTGACATCCGAAGAATGAACAACTGGTTAATGAAGAATGTGTACACTACACTTGGAGGCGCTACTTGTAAGCAAACACTGGGAATACCAATGGGACTCAGTTGTTCCCCCATGTGGTGTAACATATATTTTTTTCAGTTTGAATACAAGCTCATGAAAAAAACTACGACTGTCGTCCAACCTGCAGTTGCTTCCCCTATTCCAGAACTGTTTCAGATACTTTGATAATCTGAACTGCATCTACAACCCCAGAATTAGGGAATGCATAAACACAGCAGTTAAAAGCAAAAGGAGTAAGTACTATCTCCACCCACTCAACATTGTAACCCTCAAGGAACAGACAGCAAAAGGCACCTTACCCGGCAATAGCAGTTGCATCTTCCTAAATACCACCATCACTATCACGGATCACACTTCGGGCTCATACGAAGCCTCGAGGTTCGATAAAAGAAAAGAACTTAATTTCCCTACCAGCCAATTCATTAAATACGACTCAAATAGACCAGTGTTGCAGTCAATCAAAATCCTCATCCCACAGACAATTACCATCATGACTGTAATATCCTCGTCTGTGCAAGCAGCAGAAGACCTGATGCACCTTATCATAACAATGGCAGCCAACGGATTCAGCCCAGCTAAGTGTCAGGGCATAATCCGAATGACTCTCAACAACACTACCCAATATCAACCTTTCACATGCAACCCCAACACAGCACTCCAACACCTCCAATTTCTACTCCAAAACATGTGTGTGTAGACTATCGAAAGACATGTCTGGTATGGATGGCGATCCCCCGGAGGGGCAGGGTCGTCATCCGTACCTCTGCCCCCCAGGGACCCCATCACGCGGGAACGCGGGAGGGACACACACATATAACAACAATAATAATAATAATAATAATAATATCGATAATAATAATAATAATAATAATAATAATAATAATAATAATAATAATAATAATAATAATGATAATAATGATAATAATAACAATAACAACAATAATAATATAATAATAATAATAACAGACAAAAAACAAAAAATAGATAATTAATACACACACATACAGGGTTACCTGTCCGAACGTTCGGGGGCCCTCGGGCTGGCCCCCGAACGTTCGGACGTTCGATATCCCGTTCGGGGGCCGAACACCTCCACGTTCGGCCCCCGCCAAATAATGTTTCGGGGCCTAAAAATACGTTTTTGTTTCTGAATTTTTTTTGTGAGTTCTCTGTGATGTAACCTACACGCCTATTAATTTTGAAGCCATTCTGCAGAGCCAAAAAAACATTAAGAATCGTCAAAGATGGGGGTGTCCAAATGTGCTCGCCCACTCACTATTTTGTTTTCTTTCACTTTTAACTTTTTGTTTTCACTTTATTTCGGGGCCTAAAAAATATTATTATCATTTTTTATTTTAAATATTATTTAAAGAAAAAAATAACGAGTTATTGATTATGCAAGCTAAATATCTGTAAATTTTCAGGGAATTTTTCAATGCCAAAAGATAATTAAAAATCGGCAAAGATGGCGGTGTCGAAAAGGTGTTGGCACCCTAACTCATTTTAGTTCTCTTTTTATTTTTTATTTTTTTTATCATATTGTTTATTTTCTGTATTTGGTTTTTGATTCAAATTTGGTAACGAATTTGGATGTAGTGCCCGGGCAAATGTTGTTTAGTTTATTTTTCTCCATAACATATTGTTTTTGCGAAAGTTTTTGAAAACCTTTTTTTTTTTTTTTTTTTTTTTTTTTTTTTTTTTTTTTTTTGCTCTGCGTTCGGCCCGAACGGCCGAGCGCCTTCCAAAGGGGTCCCGTACGTTCGGGCGTTCGGCCCGTCCCGAACGCCGGTAGCCCTGCACACATACATACACACACACATATAGTCACATATTTGGACATATAAAATATAATTATAAAATAAGACACACACGCACACACTCACACACACACACACATATACATATACATATACCAAAAAATACAGATCAATACAATAAATCAACACATATACACACACTAAATCAAACACACACACACGCACGAAACTAACACAGACTTACAAACCCACATAAAGTAACATACACAGACACCCCCGGACAGCAAATAGCAAACTAGCATACACACAAAACCACACATCCCCCCAGAAAAAATATCTCCCCAAGGAGAAACAAATGCAGGCCTTGGCACTGAAAGGCCAACCCCCAATAAAACAATTAAAAGTTTTCCCCCCCAAAAAAATTAGAAAAAGTTAACCCCCCCCCCCTCACACGAAGCAATGAGAACTCGTGGAATAAAACGGCTACTGGTAAGTACACTGGCACTAAGTCAGAAATCATGAACCGATACACCCCCTTACGAAAATAAAACACGCAAAATCATAAACGACAAAAGGTCCAAGATAAACAAACTGCAAGCACGAGCACACACTAACATTCAGCTCGAATACAGCAAACCACGCTATGACCCGGACAAAAAAAACAGATATCAAGAAGACAGACGATAAAAACGTTATAAAATGGAATGAACCACTAACAAACAAAAAATCCCGCCTAACCAACATGCACAGACTGTCTGCTACAGACCCACTGCATGAACAATAACCGCGAAAATACACAAGCTAACTCCAATATAGCCTGGCTGATCGATGGCCTATCATACCTCACATACATACTACAGCACGAAGTACCCCCCCAACCAACATTGGACACAAGAAAAACGCACAGGCAGTAGAGACGCGCAAAAACACCATAAACAACCAATACTCCCGCCCAGACTACTAACCCATAGACATACGCGACACACACCACCGGCATTTATACACCATGAAAGCACTAAGCTTATCCTCACTTGTACGGCACGTCTATGCCTTGGCAAGCACTCACGAAACTAGTATGGTCACAAGACTCCGGTACCTCACTCTGAGTTAGCTGTCCGTGGCAGCTGCTGCAGACCTTGCGCAAACTTCTTCCTTCCACTACATTCACCAGCCGGCAAGGCAAAACCCAGACACACAACGTGTCCAAGGTATAGTCGAGGCCTGGCACTGCGCTCTAACTCTGCAGATACGCATTAACTGCAGGATACCAAGCCAACGCAATCCGACGATGGCGGCAGCGACCTCAGATGGACATGTCACTGACGCGGAGATCAACGCACATGCGGTAAACGTCACTCACATGCCCCCTACCTCCACACCTTACCCACTAATGCCTTCTCCCAAAGCTCCCTTGATCCATAAATTAAATAATCCCTTGCTAAAAATATCATGCCACTGTTGTCTACCTCCCACCTTCCCTACCTCCGACACATTACCTACTCTGCTACCCCCTCCCAAGCTCTCACCCCTCCATACACACCCATGCTCTAAATCTCTCCCAGGCTACTATGGTCGCCCCTACTCCACTGGTAATTGGTCCAGTTGATGTAGAAGGCCTACCTAAAAATGTAGCCCATCTTACCCTCTGATGAGTCGTTTGGCACAAACGGCGAAAAGCGCTTCAGGGATGCGCCACCCTCCTTCATCGATTTGGAGATCGGTCCTATCGAAGAAGGTTCTCTTTCTGCTCTCTCCTTCTCTTTCTCCCTTATATCTCCCCATGTATGCTGAATAGTGTATGGCATGGTGTAGTCAGAGATCTGCAAGCTATGGCAATAGGTGTACGATGGTGACCCAGTCGACAATCTAGTACGATGCTTTACTAGTTCAAATTGTGTAAAATGTTGTTCTTTACTGTTCCTG